TTAAGATACAGAGAAATTATCTTTTTGAATTGAAAAGACATTGATTGTTGAAAGTGAAACATTAAAGGAAACTTGCTTAAAACTTCATTGTCTGAGGTATGTAAATTAGCCCAAGTTGATCTACTTCCCCAAGTCCAATTTATCTGGAACCTACAGGGTACAAAGCAGTGCATTAGGTATTAGAGCCAAGTGGTAGTCTGAGACTGTTTCATCAGCTTTTCTAATTCCATTTGCAGTAATTGTCTTTACTTCACCATTAGCATGTATTATAGCTGATCAGGCTCATTTATTGTTTCATGTGCATATGTCTCAAAAATGTTTAAGCTTTCTTGTGGCTCAGAGTTATGGTTTTACCTTATTTTTACACCCACAATTCCTAGTTAGTGCTGAGTTTTAAATGTGTAATGATTACATGCTGCTAGATAATACAGCAATGTGGATTCAAGAGATCTCAACCAAATCAAATATGACCATATGAATGGCTGGTCCTGCTTCACTGTGACATGTCTTCAGACTGCCAGAGTAAGTAACAGCTTACATCTATCATCCCCCATCCTCAGGCCCAAAGCTCTTTGAGTCTCATATTAAACCACAAATGATCAAGCCACATAACTCTCTTAACTTTTTATTTTCATTATTCAATTCAGTTATTTATTATTATTACTTTTCTTTAAGATAGTTGATACTATAAGAAAAAAATTAAATTTCCTCTTCTTCTTGTGGGTGAAAAAGGAGTTCTATGTAATATAACCTCACAGGGTTATCTGACCATAAATTCCTAATTGGGCAGGTCAGGGTAGGTAGTCACAACCCAGGCATGTAACTTTTGTTTACCTTTGCCTTAAGTAAACCCTGTCCATTGTTTCTGTACATCTAGGTTAACACACCTTTGAAGTAATCACCCTCAAGAGAGCACATACTCTTGTAACTATCCTGTAATCCAGTCCCAACCTTGTATTTCCCACCTCCATGTAATCTTCTTTATCTTCCCTTCTTAATTTCAAATGCATAAATAAAGCTGCAAAACTATTATTCTCCAGAGTATTTGAAATATTGCTCTCTTGCATATGTCCTCAGTTTGACTCAAATAAACTTATAAAAATTCTCTACATATTTTCATGTTCCTTAGATTGACATTCCATATTCCAAATAAAATTTTTTTAGAAGTTCTAAAGAAAAATTTTTGTGACTATTTATAAGCTATAATGAAGGAAAAGTTCTTTCTAAACATAAAACTAGAGGCAAAACACCTATATTAAAAAGTTAAAATTTAGAGCAACAGCAACAAAGAAAAATATAAAGGCTATTCATAGCAAGTAAGACTCTGGGAAAAATTGAAACATGACAAATTTTAATAGCCTTATATTAATAGCACTTACCTATCAATAGAAAGATAGACTATTAACAGAAACATGGAGAGAAAAAAATGATTCACAGGAGAATAAATAGCAAGTCAGTTACCATATTTTTAAAATAATAAACCTCTAAGAACTTTTTCAACAAATCTGTAATAACTGTCTTTATTTCTTCATCTCATTCCTCAACTATTGGGTTGTCGGAAAAGTCATGACATATTTTGTCTATGTTTTTCAAAGGTCACTTATTTATATAAAGAACAGAGATCAACCAATGACATATTGCCCATTTTGTTCGATAACCTTTTGCCATCTTTCAGTGAGCTTCCTAATTCCTCGTTCATAGAAGGACCTGTCTTTATTTGCAAAAAACTGAGCAAGGTGCTGATTTACAGCCTCATCTGAATTGAACATTATACCAC